CCAACATGGTGAAACTCCATCTCTATTAAAAATTCAAAAAATTAGCCAGGTGTGGTGGTGCATGCCTGTAATCCCAGCTACTTAGGAGGCTGAGGAGAGAGGATCACTTGAACCCGGGAGGCAGAGGTTGCAGTGAGCCGAGATGGCACCACTGTACTCCAGACTGGGCAACAGAACGAGATTCCATCTCAAAAAAAAAAAAGAAAAGAAAGTCTTTATTTTGATTAATCTTTTGGTCATGTATAGTACATCTGTGAATAAACTTTTTCAGGGCCCATATATAGGCAAGAATTATTTCTGTGGCTTTCACATGTGACTTGATATAGAATTACTGAGTCACACACACCCTTCTCTTTCAAAATATATATATGTTGCTTCGTGTATCCTGTATCATGTGACAACTCAGGCAAAGTCTGTTTATGTACTTTGTGGAAAATCTTTCCTTTTTTCTGGAAATCTGTGGCATTCTTTTCCTTTCAAATTTAAAACGTTATTGTTCCCATTCAGGTACTGGGCAATTATTGACAATTTTCCTTTGACTATGACAGGGCCTTTTCATAGGAAGATGAAACATTTTTCTTGAGCTCAAGAAAACTTTATTCTCTTCCTCAAATATTTCTTATTTTCCCTTTATCCCAGAGTTTTCTTTTCAACATGTCGGTAATCCATATATTGGATCTCTAGTGTCTGTCTCATATGCTTTCTCTTAGGCTCCCAGACTACATAGGTCTGACGAAAAATGTGGCATACTTTGAGTCTGAAACTTCCTAGTATAGTTCATCTCGTGCTAAAAGCTGGAGCAGCTAATACTGTGACTGGCAGCTATCTTGCCCTCCTTTCTAATGTACGATGTAAACTAAATGCGTGCAAGTGACAGAAAGGTTTCCGTTTCGTTTTAAGATAGAGTCTCGCTCTGTCACCCAGGCTGAAGTCGGACATCAGCGCCATCTTGGCTCACTGCAGCCTCCGCCTCCCGGACTTAAGTGACCCTCCCAGCCCAGCCTCCCCAGTACCTGGGACTACAGGCACACACCACCACGCCTGTCTAATTTTTGTATTTTTTGTAGAGATGGGGTTTCGCCATGTTACCCAGGCTGGTCTGGACCTCCTAGGCTCAAGCCATCTGCCCACCTCAGCCTCCCCAAGTGCCGGGATTACCGGAGTGAGGAACCACGCCCAGCCACGTTGAGCCTTCTTATTTTATAGAATCGGGTGAGGATTGAGGCTACCAACCACATTTCTTCAGATAGGGAGCTTTCAGATACCTCTGATAGAGATGACCAGCAGCAGTCCACTCCCTCAGCCACATCTGAGTAGGCGGACGGTTTTATGCGGGTGCACAGGAAGACCGCCAAGTTCATCTCCGCGAGCCAAACGCTCCAGTCATGTAGTGCCCGGATGTCACGCAAGAACTTGAAATGCACGCAGGCGCAGAAAGTGGCCGGGAAGGGGGCAGGGGTGGGGCGGGGAGCGTTGCTGTGGCACGAGGACGTGGCCGGACTTTACAGCCTATGGAGCTGACGAGGTGACAATGGGCTGCAAGAGGAGCTCTTCAGTTCACCACCAGCCCCCGCAGTCCAGGACCCACTGCATTTCACTGCCATGTCCTATTAGACAGTTTTGAATAATACAGGACAGTTGTTTTGTACCAAGTACTTTTGTTTGGGGTTTTCTGAAGTTTTCTCTTGATTAGAATCAGGTTATGGATTTTTGATAGAAGAACTTTATAAGTGAAGTTGTGTCCTTATCAGTGTATTGTATCAGGAGGCACACAACATCACTTTGGTATTGATTAATCATTTGGTTAAGGTGGTGTCCTCCATGTTTGTCCACTGTAAAGGTACCTTTTCCCCGTTTGCAATTAATAGGACCATTAATAAGAAGACATGTTGAGACTGAAAGTCATAGCTTCTTTGGTTCCTGTTCTCCCTGTCTACTTCACAGGCACTTTTATGACAACATGTTAAGGGCCAACCTTTTTAGCTTCATCCCACCTTGCTCTTCTTTCTAAATGTCCTCTCTCAGCTAGTGGTATCATCATCTGCCCAGAGTCCCCAGATAAAAATATCAGTATCTTTAACTTCTCCTTTTCCCTACACCCAAGTAAGCAACAAGTCCTGATTCTGTCCCAGAAACATCTCCCAAATCAGGCACCTCCTCTACTTAAACACTTAAACAACCACCTCCAAACCAGCCTCTGTACTTTCAGAATATTCTGTCTATTCTAGGCCATCCTCCATGCTGTGCCTAGAATTATTTCCCCTAAACCTAAACGTAATTAGAGGTCACTCACAACCCTGCTTAAAATCTATTATCTGTTATTTTCTGTTTGTTGATCTCACTATATATATATACACACACACACACATATATATACACACACACACATATATACACACACATGCACACACAGAAAATAAATGTTCAGGATCTATAGACTATCATCTAAGGCTCCATAGTTTGTTCCCAAGCTACCTCCTCATCCTCCTAATCCATGCGCCCCCCTTTTCCCCGAAACTCTGGTCAAAATGAATCATTACTCCCCAAACATTTCCAGTTCATTCAGAACCTTATGTTTCAGACCCTGTTATTCCCTCAATTTGGGATGCCCTTCCTTCATTTATTCCTGTTCGGCTCTCACTTGGTCTTTTCAGCCCTCTAGGAGATATAACCTTGTCTTTGAAGATTCTCCTACCCCCTTCCTCACAGCAGTTAGTCGCCCTCTGTCTAGGCCTATAAACTCCTCAATGATCAAAACTGTTTCTCACTCAATATTGTACCTCCAAAACCTAGACAGTTTATAGTTGGTATTTAAGAAATGTTTTTTGAGTAAGTGAATAATAGTGTAGCTGACAGTAAGCCTCAACAGTTGTCTGAAGAAACATGACACTGAATATAAAGCTTTGTATATAATTGCATGAAAAATATATTTGTATCACAAAAACTGTAACAATATATCTAGCCTCAACTGCATGACAGTTTCCATTTCCAAACTTGCTTAATTTACAACTTAGTAGGCTTAACATCATTAAATAAGTTCAGGACGAGCGAGTAAATTTCCTCTTCACATAAACATATACTAACTGATTGACCGAGAGACTGTCTTAAGATTCAAGTTCTGTTTTAAGGATTTTTCCTTTGATACTAAATGTTAGCTTTTAAAATGTATGAGTCTTACCAAGTTGAATAAAACTTAGTTTCAGCTGGGTGCAGTGGCTCACACCTGTAATCCCAGTACATTGGGAGGCCGAGGTGGGTGGATCCCTTGAGACTAGGAGTTCGAGACCAGCCTGGGCAACATGATGAAACCCCGTCTCTACAGAAAATTTTAAAAATTAGCCGGGCATGGTGTCGTGTGCCTGTGGTCCTAGCTACTGGAGAGGTTGAGGTGGAAGAATCACTTGAGCCCACGAGTTCAAGGCTGCAGTGAGCCATGTTCGCATCCCTGAATTCCAGCCTGGGTGACAGAGCAAGACCCTGTTTCAAAAACAAACAAAAAGCAAAAACAACTTAGTTTCTAACCTCAGTAATAAGCCAAGATTTATTTATAAAAGTAGGAGAATAATACCTATCTCCCAGAGGATGTTGAGAGATACTGATTAAACTGAATAAGAAAAACATGTCTGAAAACAATTTGAATTGTAAAACAGCCTACTAATATAATGTACTTTCTGACTCTCCAGTGAGTATTGGCTATGATGATGTTAATGTTTTGCACTTAAAATATCCCCAGTTCTCTCTTTCCACCGTACTGTTATGATATTCTAGAGTAGCGCTTCTCAAATTTCAACGTACATACAAATCAACTGAGATTCTTGTTAAAATGTAAATTCTTATTCAGTAAGGCTGGGGTAAGACCCAAGATTCTACATGTCTATGAAGCTCCTGAAGGCTGCTAGTCCTTCTTGTTTGAGGATCCCACTTTGAGGAGCAGAAGCCTTAATCAGAGGTTCCCAACATTAGGCTCATCAAAAGAGTTTTCTAAAGAGTTGTACCTAATCAGAACTTCTAAGGAAGAGGGTCCAGTTGACTGTATTTCTAATCACTCTTCTTCTCCAGGTGATTCGTAGGTGACCAGAACAATACCAGCAAATGGATAGTTATGGGGTTCAGGATATGCTACCCCCAAAAATGGCACCTTGGCATTTAAAATAATAGCAGAAGCAGGAAGGTTACTCTTAGCATTCTTTCACTGTTCTCCCCTGAAGCAGGCCATAAAAGAATTATCTGACCTTCCTCTAAAGTAGGCCATAAAACCTTCATTCCAGAGGTGTCCTTTCTATACCTGAGGAAAGGAATGTCCCTATCTCTGAAGACACGGGAACACAAAAAAGAATCTGAACAAACATGCCTTGCTAAATTCCCCCTAGTTTATTACCATTAGATTGTCAACCTTAAATAATGAGACTCAGAAAATATAATCAACTGTGCTTATTCGAGTTTATTTGAGTGCAAAGCTTGAGGATAGACACCCAGAAACACTGACGATGAAAGAATGGGTCAGCGTTCTAAAGTGGGGAAGTTAAGGTTTCACTTACATAGGCAGTTAACAGAGTTGCAACATTTTCCATACAAGGTCAATATATATGGTATAGCAATTTGGTTGGTTATAGTTTGCTACATTCCAAGGTAGGTTGCTTTAACGTTCTGCAAGGAGGGGTGATGATCTGAAGGGGGTCTTATCTCTGGTGCCACAAGGCCTTTCTTAATCATTTGCAGGAAAAAGTAGAAGTTGCAGCTGCATGCTACATGACTCATGCCACATAGTCACATTCCTCTCAAAGTTCAAAATAATTTAAATTTCCAACAGCTTTAAGTCTGAATGATTTAATTTCACAAGATCGTACCCTTTTGTCCCCCAATAATACTTACGCATAACTATCTATAAAAAGTTTGCCCTGTTTCTTTAAGTCTTCATTTCTGAAGACTCCCATGTCATGTAAAATTTATATTAAACAGATTTGTATGATTTTCTCTCATTAATCTCTCTTGTATTATAGATGCCACAGCCATGACCCTTACAATGGGTGAGATTTTTTTCTACCCTACAATGAATATTTGAATGTTCTACAATCTAGGTACTCAAACTGTGGCCCAACTGCTGGTAGCATTGGTATCAACTGGAAGCTTGTTGGAAATGTAGAATCTCAGATCTCACCCCGGAATGGACTACAGACTCAGACTCTGCATTTTAATAAGATTCACAATTCACAGGTATGTGTGTAATGTGTATGTTAATTCTTATGTTCAAAATTCATTGTTTCTCTCACTAAGTGTTTCAGAATCACCAGGAAACATAAACCAAGGAAACTGCACGTGTGTGTGTAAGGGCAGTTACTTTAACAGATGTCACCTGAGCCTTTGGAGCTGCTTTATTTAGGATTACATTGATTGAGTGCTTTAGGTGTAGACAATGAAACTCTGAGAACATGATCTGAAAGGAGATAGTGAAACAAGGAAATAGTTCAAATTCTTTGTATGTAACGTGAACTGGAATTGAAAGAGAGCTGAAATATGAGAGGAGAAGAGATGAAAGTCACAGTCCTTTCTTTAATATATGAATAAATAATAATCGTATTTTAAATGATTGCTTTTTAGTATAGAGATTCCCTTGTCATTCCAAATGTTCGTTCACTAAATTGTACTATCATATGAAAATGCTTGGGATATTTGAGGAAACTGAGTTAATCAAGTTTTGGGAATTCAAGTGAGTTTCAGGTCAATTACAAAGGGGTGGGTGGGGATGACCTTAGCTGATGTCTGATGAACACTAGCTAGTTAATTCTATATAATCATACATAAAACAGACAGACTTTTATTCCTAGTAGTTTGTAATGTATTCATATCCAGATTGCCCTGATCACAAATAAATTGCTCAAAGTGCTAGAAATATTATATAAGAAATAATTTAAAATGTTCCATATGTACTGAAATATATTGAGAAAATTTCTAGCAAAGCCCAAGTTGTGTCCTAGTAGTAAAGTAGAATACTATTGTTGAAACATTGACTGTATCATGGCTTGGAGGCCTGAGAAAGTTGCAATTCCCAAAATTCCTTGATTTGCTGAGTTAATTTAGTTATTAGAATAACCTGAGTCGTTGCTAGAACTTAACCTAGAATAACGCATCTCAGTTGAGGTTTTTTCCTCTACCTTCCATGTTCAGGAAAAAGAATGTTATGACTAACAAAGTTATTTTCCAGAGAGTTATTCCTAAAAAATATTTCAGATGACATTAACACCTAGTATGGAGTATTTTCCAAATAGTAAACAATGAAAATATCCCTGTTATTAGGGGGAAAATAGTACTTTATTTTAAGAAGTACAGCATTTATCTTTACCAGTTAAGGTAAAAGTATGCAATAATACATAAACCCCAAATCTCAGTGGTTTAAGAAAATAGAAATGTATTTCCTTTTCATGTAAGGTCCAAGAGAGGCATTCTTGATAGATGGGTAACATTCCTCCAAGTGATAATTTTGGTACCCAGGCTTCTTGCATCTTGTGGCTTTGCATTTTTTAACATAGGACTTACAAGGCCACGGTGACACAGGATTTTTCTCAGCCCCTTTGCCAGACTTGCAGCAGGGGGCACGCCCTCTACACGGCCCACCCGGCCACATCTGTCTTGTGTTCCAGCCTGTAACTCCTGCAGCTGCAACAACTGCATCCTCAGCCCCTAGTGGGAGGGAACATATGAGTGAGTGAGTGCAGGGTCCAACTGGCCACTCCAAGTGCTGACACAGAAGCAAATTCCATGCAGGGCCTGCTGCCAGACCAGGCATTTTGCCCCAGGGGGAATGTGGTGGTACCAAGGCAGGGGTGCCTGTGACCCCAAAGTCCCAGAGTGGGTGTTACAGTGTGCTAATTAGCTCTTTTTGTTCTGCTGTTCACAGTCAGATGGACTGCAGCATGTTAGCAGCTAGTCAGCCTCTTGGCCCTCTCTGGCCCTCAGCTCCAGGACCAGCATGGCTCTGGGACTGGTTTGGCCCCACCACTGCTTCTGTTGTGTGGGGTGCTGCCCCCCACTGGTGAGGGCAGAGGGCCAGTGCCACAGCCTTTCTGGGTACCCACATTCAGTGGGTCCAGAGCTCTTGTCCCACATCCAAGAAGAATGAAGTCACACTGACAGTTGAAGGGTGATGAGGGCAGAGAATTTTATTGAGGGACGAAACAGCTCTCAGTGAAGAGGGGATGGGAAGGTTGAGTTGTCTCTTCCCTGAAGTCAGATTGTCTCTCCCCCAAAATCAGGTCATCTCTCCCCTGAAGTCAGTTGGCCTCTCCCCCAAAGTCAGGTGGTCTCTCCCCCAAAGTCAGGTCACCTCTCCCCCAAAGTGAGATCATCTCTTCTGCAAAGTCAGGTCATCTCTTTCCCCAGTGTGACTGAGTCTGGGTTTTTTATAGGCACAGGATAGGGGAGGGGTAGGCCATAGGTAGTATGGGAAAAGGCAACATTTAGTTGGTGTGTGAGTATGCAAAAAAGGTTAAAACGAAGGCACCAATCAAAGGTGAGCATAGTGTAAAAACAATAAGGGAAGAGTAGGTATATGTAAAATCAGTGAAAGGTGGGGATAAATCAAAGGAAAGCACACCAAATGGGAAGACAGGTTCTCAGTCTGGTCCGTGGATTTGACTTGTAACTTGGCCTTCAGGCTTTAAACTGTCTTTGGCTTGAAGGTGGGGTTTCACCAGGGACCTGCCCCTATCTGCCTAGACGTTTGTCTGCCTCTTGCTGCTATCAGCAGCCAATGAGAAAGAACATGGAGGATGGTGCCTGGAGGTTTTTAATGGGCTAGACCTGAAAGTCACTCATTTTACTTCTGTCGGCATTCCATTGACCAGGATGCAGTCACATGACCACACTTAACTGCATGGGCAGTTGGGAAATGTAGACTGGCTGGGTGCCCAGGAGGCAGAGGAGAAGGGTTTTTTCAACAACTAGCTAGTCTATGCCAAGAAGATTTGTTCTTCTGTGCTTCCTTTATCAATTTTTGAAGGTCTAGTCATTGAAAAGTTATGGTCATAATTATAAATCCACTACTGAAGACATAACTATAAAACAAAAACCTTATTGAATTAATGCATGGTATTAACTAAAGTATGAAACCAAGGGTTGAAAACAACTTTTTAAGTTCATCTTGAGCTGGATAAAAATTAGATTGAAATATGCCTGTTTCTGGAGACTTGCAGCTAATTTAGATGTCACTGTCATTATCATGTGGAGAGCTGTCACTTCATGTGGAAGAGTCACTTTGTACCATGGATCCTTAGAAATGCTATGTGCATAAATAAATGTTGCCTCCAATTGCTTGACAAAGGCAGGCTGCTCAAAGAAAAAGCCACTCAGGTGGAGACAATTAAATGTGATTGCAACTGAATGACTCAGCTGGGGATGGGGAATCACAAGACCTAGGAGAGAAGGAATTGTGTAGGAGTGGAATTGTGTGATCAAACCTAGGAAACAGTTGGCTAATCTCAGAGCAATCAGTCTAAAGGCTTTTCATGTAAATGTAGAATCAGAGATTTGAGGAAAAAACAAGGGTCTAGTAAAGCAGGCCCTATATAGCAGTAGCCAAATGGAGTGAGAAGAGATAAACAACTGAAACAGTTTCTTCTTTATGACATGGGTAGCATGTCCATTAAATTTCTAAAGCTACACACACCTCTTTGTTTGTAATGAAAGAGGTCAGGAAATCTCATGGACTGTGCATAAATGAAAGAAAGCACCTGGCAAGTCATCTTATTTCCTCTTTTAGTGTTATCTACAGATGCCCTCCTGTGAGGTGACTTAATAAGGCAGCCCTTCCTGAAAGAGGAAGTACACAATGATAACAGCTGACATTACTGAGCATACAGCATTGTAAACCAAAACTCAAGCCATGCAATAGACTGATGGGCCCTCCCCTTGGCCAAGGGCATTCCAAAGTTAACCTAAAAAACAAGTTCGGGCCATGATGGGAAGTAGGGGTCGGACATGCCTCATTATACCCTCCTCCCATTGGAATCCAGGCACAGCTGACCAGCATTAACATTAAAACAGAGCCCTTAAGACTGATGGAACAGTCAAAAAGAGTTTGACTCTTTTTGTTGACAGCATGGACCAGGTACACTACTAGGTAATTACCCATGTTATCCCCATTTCAGGCAATGATTACTTTTGAAAGCAACTAACTTGCTAATTATGATATTGCTAAATAAATAAGATATATCAAAACCATTTAAAAATAGCAGTTCTGGAGGGATAGCTTCCCTTCCTCTCTCAATGTGATAGAAGATGGTTTGTCAAAGACAGATATATTTAGAAACATAAACTAAACTTGCTGGTAGAAATATTAAAAATATTAAAATGGGTCAACTTGAATTAAGCAGTTTTTGCTACTCTCAGGAGTTATTTTCTAAAGAATTCATTAGTGACTGAAATAATATTGTGAGAGAAGTTATTGCTCAAGCTCTATGTATTTATTCCTATATAGGGCTAGGCACTAGGCTTATAAGAGATTAAAAGCATGGTTATAGCTTGTCTGGAGTCTTCAGTTTGGGGAAGAAATAAAGGTAGTATTCAAATATTAAAATCACTTTAATAGTTTAAAAGATACTGTGAGTTTTAAAAGATACTGTGAGACACCAGTGAGACCCCAGCCCCAGCCAGTTTTTTGGGTTCTTGACACTGTCACAAGAAAGAATTTGGGCATGAGTTGGAATTATGTGAAAGACAAGAAGCTTTTATTGCAAAGCAAAGGTATACACTTAAGAAAGAAGTGACCGAGCGTGGTGGCTCACACCTGTAATCCCAGCACTTTGGGAGGCCAAGGCAGGTGGATCACAAGGTCAGGAGATCGAGACCATCCTGGCTAACACAGTGAAACCCCATCTCTATCAAAAATACAAAAAATTAGCCAGGCGTGGTGGTGAGCGCCTGTAGTCCCAGCTGTTCGGGAGGCTGAGGCAGGAGAATGGCATGAACCCGGGAGGCGGAGCTTGCAGCGAGCCAAGATCACGCCACTGCACTCCAGCCTGGGCAACAGAGCAAGACTCCATCTCAAAAAAAAAAAAAAAAAGAAGTGTAGGTGTGCTCACGAGAATGAGTTGCCCACAATGGAGTATGGATTTCTAATTTGGGGGGTGTTTTTTTAATTAAGGGGTAAAATAATCATTAGATATTCTGGAAAAGAAGGGGATTTCAGCCCTGCCCCAACTCCCCATTACCTCCCCCTT